CACACACACACACACACACACACACACACACACACACACACACACACGTGAATGACGTATGTGGCCAAGGGTGTGTGCCTAGGAACCTGGGAACAGTGGCAGACGGAGGCTGTGTATATACCTGTATACTCCTGCCCACGGGGAACGCACACTTGTGTGCGCTGTGCTTCTGAGGATGTGTTCCTGTGAGCACGCCGAGGGTAGGTTGGAACAATCATGGGAAGGGGCCTGTATGTGAACACACCTGCACATGTTGGATGCATCTGTGTGGGGGTGAACTCAGGCCTTACTCGTGTGTACACAATGCATGTAAGCAAGCCTGTTCTCACACACACAGAGAATCCAGTGGTTGCCCCTGATGTGCTTCCTACTCAGGAAGTAGGACTCCCCCTCCCCATGAGGGAGCAGATGGCTGGATCTTGGAGGAACAGCGCCAGGGTCCCTGGCCACTGCCCGGCAGGGAGCACAGAAGTCCTGTGTTTCCATCTCATCACAAAGCACTCCCTTACCAGCACGAATGTGCATACCGCACACATGCATACAGATGCGTCAGCACACATGTGCGCATACACAGCACAGCCCATGGTGCCCATACACACACCCACACGTCACAAGAACGTTTGCGCACACGTATGCACACATGCATGCACTTGAGCATACACATGAGTGTATTCGGATGCCAACACAGATACACATTCACACACATGTGCACACATATGGACATGTGGACACACACACATACACACACTTGCTAACACAGTACAGGTGAGTGGAAGAGAAAAGGGAGGGGCAGAAGAAATGCTAAAAACAGACAGAGAGTGTGAAGACACAACAGAAAGCAACGAGAAGCCAACAAAGTGGGAAGAGACCTCCAAAGCTGGCACTGGCCCTGTTCTGCACACCTGTCACCCAGCCCTTGGTGCCCCTTGTGCCATGCCTGGTTTTGTCCCGGTGGGCCCTGTTCATGCCCAGACTGGACAGGCAGGGGCTCTTGCCTGGACTGCAGGCTCTTGATGCGGGACAACATGTCCAAGTGTCCAGCGGAGTATTGTTCAATGACATCCATCACGTCATATGGGCGCAGGCTCTCTTTGAACTTTCGCTTAGATACCAAGAACCGCATAACGCTGCAGGGACGGATAGATCATGAGTTCTAGACAGAGGCTGTGCTGCCAGAAGCCACTTTCCATATCCACCTGCCTGTCACCCTCAAAGCAGCTCCACGACCACAGTTCCCTGGGGAATAGTATCCACTCTCATCTTGGCCATCTGCTCACCCCTCCCCACCAGGGTCCACTCAGTGCTCATTGTAAAGACAGGGTCCCATCCTCCTTGGAACCACTGGTATGGGACAACAGTTAGTTATCTGAAGACATCCTCTCGCCCTTGTCCCCACTGCATCCATACAATCAGGGGCTCTCAGGTCCAGCCAGCTCCATCAGGGCTTCCTAGCCCTCTGGGAACAAGCTGACAGGTACAGGAGCTGGAATGGGCAGGGGTCCTCCTTAAGACTCCCAGTAGCTATGGCCTTTGGTGGTTTGGCAAGATCCCATGAGGTCACTGAACGGGGCCTTTCTCATGCAGATTGGGCAGGGGTCCCTTACCACACAGCTCTGATGCTGACTTTGAGGCCAGGGGTAAGATCCTCGGTCACAAACTCGCAGTTACAGCTCTTGTTGTCCTCCACGATATCCTCCCCAGGGAGGCTTGCTTCTAGGTGGAAGGGAGCGCGGGCCATGAGCAGACAATCACAACAGGATGCAATCCTAAGCCTGACCCTCAAGGGCCACTCAGGCTTCCCCAGGATAGCCCTTCAATGCCTCTGCTGCACTGGAGTACCCGCTAGGCCTCTCTGCAGCTCTCCTTTCTCAGGGTCTTCTCCAAAAGCTATTACCTGGACAACAGGAGGGTTTCAAAGGACATCTCTGCCAACGGACAAATGGATAACCACATTGTGGTCACGTTTCAGCCAAGAGATGAAGAAAGTTATAACCCTTGACAGCACAAATGAGCCTTGCAGGCACCATGCTCAGTATGGAATGGCTCAATACCATGCATGTGACATGCGCTGGCTGGAGGTAGAGAGATGTAGGCACAGAGCCCAGTGCTGGGCCGGAGAGGGCCTGGGTGACATCTAGAGGGTTCAGGGCCTCTTGTCCGTTACCTGCAGAGGTGGACCACCAGTAATGGAATTACAAGATGCCAATAAGGATGTGTGTTTAAGTGGTTCATCTTATAGGTCGCCACTTAAAAGAATAAAAAGAGGGGGTACCCGCTCTAAGAGGCTTTTATTTGCGCCCTATAGCCGAGCACTGACGTCCTTCTCCCAGCATCCATGAGTCTTGAGGAAGGTGATGCCGTACTGACCCACCTTCTGAGTTCTGCCGGGAAGCAGCACCCTTGATGCGGAAGGCCTGGCGGGCACGGCTTCGATCACCAAAGCTCCAGCTCTTGGGCACCTTGCTCGGGCTGTCGTCCAGGCTCTGATCAGCACTGGGGGACCTCCGGACCGTCTGGGCCTGGGGAGACCCCTTCCCCTTGGCAGCTACGCCTCGGGGGCTGGAGAAGACACGATCTTTCAAACTGACCTTCTGACTGTTCCCAGGATAACCGACCGGCAGACAGAACAGGCAGACAGACAGACACACAGAAAAATAGCAAGAGAAATCACTCTGGAAATAACAGGTCATGTATCTCTGCAGCTGATGGCCTGCCCCGCCCCCCCCCCCCAAGCCAGGAGGAATATGCAAGTCCAAAGAATAACCGACCGCTGGGAACAGGGAGCAATGGCTGGTGAAGCACGGGGTAGAGGTGAGGGGCCGCAAAGGCGTGGCCAGAGCTGGGGAGGCAACGGCGGGGCTCCTAAATCATTCAGCTATCGCCACAAGGTGCCAGAACCCTCTCCACACTGTCCTGTCTGCCCCCCCCCATTGGATCTCTTCCCTGGACCTTTGTCTGGACTAGCCCAGCCTGTGGCTTCTCCTGTTGCCTCTTGCAGCTGCCCCTGGACTGCCCCCACCATCATATCTCCTGTCCCAGGACCATTAGGGACCAGGGCTACAGCTAATGTGTCTTGATCCACCTCAGCCCCAGCATTTTCCCCCAGCATTAGCTGCTTGCCCTCGATGTGGGGCTGATATCCAACACTGTTTGGTCTCTGGGATTCAGATCCCTCCCCTAGGATGTTTCTAGGAGGACATCAGAGATGAGGATTCTATAAGGCTAGGCTTCTACGATCACAGGACTGGTTGTCCTGACCCTTGGTCCCAGGTGATGGTTATAGAAATGGAGAGAAGATGGCCAGCCCATAACCAAAACTCTTTCCCACTGGGCTGTTGTTTCCAAACTCTAGAAGTTCCTAGGACCTCAAATGTTTCTTCATAACCCCAGAGTTCAGCATCTCACTGTGATCCATACAGCATAAGACAGAAAGTGGGTCTGTGACGAGGTTGCTCCAGGAAGAGGTGGTCTCCGCCCCTTACTCTGAGGACAACATGCCTCTGTACAGGCCTTTTTCTATTAATGACTCCACCATTGCTCCAGAGGCAGAAGGTAGCAAGTCTCTTGTGAAGTGGGACTCACTTGTTCAGCCACATAGGAGCCATAGGACTTCCCAGGGTAGCTTCAGGACTAAGGGTAACTCTAAGGAAGTTGCCATGTTCAGTACTGCTCATCAGTGCCTCAGAACCCAACTTCACACCCAGCCACAGCGCCCCACCATGGGCCACAGCCAGAGAGACAAGTCCAAGGCAATGCAGCGCCGGCTATACAAAAGAAGATGGCCGCAGGTCAAAGTCCACCCTCCTTGGACTGTGGATGGGGCTGCTGGCCCACCCCACCCCATTCAGACAGTAGGCAACTTGGGAGACCACCTGCCTGCTCAGGCTCTCTAAAGGAGAGGAAGGAAGAAGAGAAAGCCAGTGGCACAAAACTCACACAGGGAAACTGAGGCAGCTTCAAGGTGTCCCGTGTCCTGGGAGCATCAGGAGCCAGTGGCATCTGCTAGCTTTGGAAAATAGCCCTGAGTCCAGACTTTTGCGCTCTGCTGAAACACTGGAGGCCACACATCAGGCAAGTAGTGGCCAGGGGCACCCAGAAACCACGTGGCTCCCTGACCCCCTTTTAAACAGAAAATCCTAGTTGCATATAAAGAAAACTGGATATTCGGGGATTTGTGGCTTCCAAAATGTTCTCTCCTCCTATGGGCCCCTCTATCACAGGAACTATTGAAGACCCAAGACAACATGTCTCTCACGGTCCACCTGGGAGAGGTGAGGTAGGAGCTGGACTGAGGAAGCTCACACTTTCCAGTAGACTCGGGGTCTCTTCTTCTGTCCCCTCCAGCTTACGCGCTGATGGAAGGGAAACAAATCACCACTAAACAGTCTGGTGTTGATCACCCTGAATGAAGTCACAGAGCAGCCTTCCTGGGGTCCCAGGAGTCACTCTGTGTTGCAACAACTTACAGTCAGTGGCTGTCAGGCAGACTGAGCTGCAATGGCTGGTGCTTACTGCCTCCTGACCCCCGGCCTCTGCAGGGGGTTACAACAAGAAGGACTGGAACAGGTCCCTCTAGGCAGGTTAGCCAACATCAGCCACTTTTCCTTCCTAGTAATGATTTCTACCACAGCCAACCAAGATAAGTTATCAACCACACAAACCCAGGCCTGGACTTTAGCCCTTCACAGGGCTGCAGCCCACAACAGAGGTTCAGCTGCCAGGAAAAGGACCCCCACTTTTAGTCTTGCTTCTTCTGTCTCCAATTCGGCACACTGTCCCTTCCTCTGAAGGAGGCTCTGATAGAGAAAGGGACGAAGTGGATTGCCATTGCAAGGACACTCAGTCCCCACACAGCCTTCCACATCTCTAGGCCCTGAATAGACCCCCTCTCACCTCTCAAGCCACCAAACCAAGATCAAAGCAAACATTAGGTAGGAGGGCTCTCCAGAGCTTCCCCTAAAGCTCCAGCAAGAGAGCCCATGAACAGAACTACCCTGTATGGTGAGGGCCATGACACCAGCCAGGAGTCAAGCTCAGGAAGAATCTGGGAAGCAAGCAACCTCCACCCTCCCTCTTCCTATCATCCTCCTCAGAGTGAAATTAAAAAAACAAAAAACAAAAACAAAAACAAAAACCCAGTCATTAGATGGCCCTTGCCCTGGTCAGTGCATGGGCTCAGCAATGCAGGGAGCCGGCATCCACAGAGAACTACCCAGCCTGTGCCTGGATTGAGGATGCCCAAGGGACAGTCCACAAGAACACAGAGGGCAAGGCGGACTTCGGCAAGGCAGACTTCAGCTGGGCTCCTGCAGGCCCATCCTTTCCAGCCCTTCTAATCTTTACACAGCTTGACCTTAGCCTCTGCCCTAAAGGTTCAACCTGAGGCCAGAAGCACCTGGTCACATATGCCGTGGGCAAGCAAGGCAGCTTCAGCCAAGGCCTGAGCAGGCTGCCTCCCAGGGCAGTCCAGACACCCAGCTCCCTGTCTGCAGCTGTGACATTGTCCCCACAAGCACCCGCCTCTAGTGCACAGAGCCAGCAGAGAGGCTCGTGGGGTAGGGAGGTGGCCCTCAAGCCCCTCTCCCAGTGGAGAAGGACACGGAGCATGCACAGGTGCAAATGCACAGCATGCTGCTCGGCACAGCTGGCCACATGCACATGATGGGGGCTCCCCCATGCGGGGGCCACCACAGCTGCCTGAACGTGACTGGGTTGCACCAGCCAGGAAAGGGACAGGCATGGGAGGGCAACCAGGAGGCAGGGGCCCCAGAGCAAGCAGGACAGATGCCTTCACACATGGACAACAGACAGGGAAATGGAATAGGAAAGGTGTAGTCAAGGTGCAAAGGGTTAGGAGGCTTTTCACCATCCTGTTTCCTGTCTTCTCTAAATCAGGCCTGCAAGTCAGAAGGGGGAGACATGGCCTCTGGCTTTCGGAGGCCCTGAAGAGCCCAGAACACAGCGAGCTGCCTCCCTCAGTGAGGTGCCGGCTAAGGATCGGTCCTTAACGCCTAGTAGAGGTACCAGAGTGGCCGGCCCCAGAGGAAACATTCCCTGAAGGATATCAGACTGTTTCTGTGGCAGTAACCCTGGCCGGCCAGCCCCCTGCTCTGGCAGGAGGGGGTTCCATCTGGAGTCAGAGGCCAGGCGCCCAGCTCTGCCCTGCGCTTAGGCGTCAGGGAACTCAGAGCTGGGTGGGCACTGTGCCGGCTCATCCTGAACCTCTAGTAAGCGGGGAGGGCAGGAGCGTGCAGCGTGGTCAGTCCGTGCGAGCATTGCGTGGTACCTAGAGTGTCCGGGGCAGCATCCACACAGGCACCCTCGGCACGGTTTGCCTTTACTGGAAATGAGGAGAGCATAGTTAGTCCCGGGGGCGGCGACAGGACCCGGACAGAGAGCAGGTAACTGAGGCACTGTGACCACCCAGGGAGTTTGGGCTCACAGTCCCCCAGCCGCAGCGTTGGCGTCTGAGCAGGGACAGTGAGAAAGGGGTGCGCGCAAAAGTCTTCAGCTGCCTGGGAAAGAAAACAGTTCTCTATTTTTGGAGAAAAATGATCCCTGTGTTTTTCCTCCAAAAATACCTTTTCCTTCCAAAGCCAGAGTGTGGGTTCATGTTTTAAGAGATGTATTATTTTTTGCTATATTCATGCCAACAAAAATAATAATAATACATGAACCGAGATATGGCAGGAGGCCAGGTGTGGATGGAGATAGTCTGGGAGGTGACCACTGCAAAGCATGCGCCTTTTAGGGAGGGAAAAATGTGCAATTTAACTTGACAAACTAGTTGGCAAGCGGCAAGGTTTTGCCACACCGCCCTATGGCTCTGGCGGCAGTGGGCTCCGACTTATTCAGGAGGCAATGGCTGCCCCCAGTTAGAAGGAAGAGCAACAGAAGAGGCTTGGGGACATACCATATTTGGAAGGACTGATCAAGTACATTCGTCTGGAAGTCCATGAGTCTACCTTCTTGCCATGACCTGGGCTAAGAGAGCTCCAAGGAGGAGCCTCAGCAAAATCCCAGCAAAACATTGACCCTTTCTAAGAATCCCCCAAACCCTTGAGATTTGTTTTTCATTAGAACATGCAAAAAAAAATTAAGTTAAAAAAAAGAAAAAAGAAGGAAGGAAGGAAGAGAAAAAGAGAGAGCCAGTGGATCTCTGAGGTCAGCTTGGTCTACAGAGGGAGTTTCAGGACAGCCAGGATTATGCATAGAAACCCTGTCTTGAAGAAAAGAAAAGAGAAAGAGAGAGAGAGAATTACAAAAAAACACTTCTTTTTTTTTTCTCCAGGACTTCCCTCTTTCTGTGTAGTTATAACAGCTCTTCACATTGTCCCATATAGAACCATCTCAAGTCAGAAACAAACAAGCCCCAGGATGAAATCGTCCGGCAGTCCATTTTCCATTGAACATTTATCCGAACACGGCCACTTCCTGTTATGTGCCATGATGCGTGAGCCTTTCCTCAAAGGACTCACTTCACTAACTGGAGTAAACAGAAATTAAAATTGGAACTAGTTTCTGGAGAGCACCCTGCTAACCAGCTAGTGCTCAAACTGTTCGTGCAGGACTCTGAGCACCCAGAAGACTTCTGCCCAAGCATCCACATAGGTTTGGCATTCTAGGTATACAAGCAGCTTTGGACTCCTTGGAGACACAGGACAGAGGCTTGAATGCTTGGTGCCGTCTTACTACAGGATGCTGTCAGCAGCAGCATTCCCCATGACTTGACCCAGGGTTAAACAGGCTATTAAGCAGGTGAGTGTCTAGCTCCTTGACTCCTAGCCCCCATGTACATCCTTGGAACAAAAGACAGAGGCAGTCCATGTCCAGCACCTCTGACAAATGTCCCCTTTGACCCCAGCTCTACAGCTTCTTGAGAAGCCTGAGGCCTGCAATAGAAACCACGTCTAATAGCTGTATTGTCTAATGTGGTAGCCAATACCACACCTAGCCACTGAGACTCAGGAATGAATACCAACTGTGTCCATTTTAATGAATGTCACATGTGGCCTGTCATTCTTGTCTTGGAAAACATAACTTGAGAACCTGACAAGCTCTGGGGAAGAGGAAGATGCTCTCCATCTTCCCCTTGGTGGTGCCTGAGTGGTGGGTGCCAAGGACCTCTAATTTGGGCTGGTGTAAAATTGTTCATTCCCTCTGACCCCATTTTTTTTCTGTTCCATCAGCAAAGTCAAGCAAATGGTTGGCCAGTCTCCATCCCAGGCAGATGCCAACTGGCCAGCCCATGAGGACACCAAGTCCAGTGGGAAACAGATATGCCCACAGACACAGGCTAAGGCCAGACAGGGCAGATGGGTGCTAAGACACACAGACACCTCCATCTGTGAAGAAGACTGGACCCATATGGACAAGAAGGGCAAAGCCAGGGTTTGGGGGCTCTTTAGGCATAGGGTAGGAGACAATGAGGAAGAGACAAGCCCACCGAGGACAGTCACAAAAAAACACTGGTACAGCACAGGCCTCAGCTCCCACCTGCCCTGGTTCCCCTCACCCAGATATCCTCAGTGTTTCCAGCCTAGTCATGTAGGTCTCCTCGGAAACAAGCCACACAACGCACCTGCATCCTGAGTCACAAGACGAAGGGAAGGTCCCTTTAGGCAGCTGAGGGAGAGGTCCTGGGTTCACACCACCCACCTGCCCAGATAGATAATGCCAGCTGGTCCTGCCAAGCAAAGTGCAAGGCTGTGTCCAGAGCCAGACAGAAACATGGCTGCTGACGATTCCAAGGACAGCAAGACTCTGGGGAGCCGGGCTTGCTCCAATGAACTTAGCACTTCAGACAAGGGCCCAGTGACAGGCTCAACCCACCATCTGTCACTTAGGTAGCAATTTTCTGTACACTTCCTAGGTACTTGGTGCTAAAGAGGGGGCATAGCTGCTCCTGGCAGAAGCCAGAGGTACCACTCCACCCTCCGTTACCTGGCCAGCAGGTACATCCAGTGAAGGAGTAGAGGTCTTCACTGACAGACACTGTTCCTCACTCCCTCAGCACTCAGGTCTCCAGGTGCCCCAACCTCCTCGAGGATCCCAGTGTCCGTGCAAAGGTCCTGCACACCCTTCCCAGGGACGGCAAAGGTGCCGCCTCAACTGATCATTTTGGGAGCAGGGCGTCCTGGAAGGAGGACTGGGTCGGCGGGCGCTGGCCCTCGGGGAAGGGTGTGGAGGCACAGGCAGGCAGGGGCCACTGACACGCGGGGCAGACAGAGGAGTGGCAGGGTGGAGCGCAGGGGAGCCACGGAACATACCGGAGAGCCAGGGGGCTCCCATGGGTCCTCACCTTGAGTCCTGCTTTCAGGGTCAGCACCTCATCCCAAAAGACAGAGCAGACGAGAAAGGGGCCCAAGAAGGGCAGTGACAGTGATTAAAGGCACTTGGGGGCAGCAAGATTTTCCAGATGGGGGCAGAAGAGGAAGAGAGAGAGAGAGAAAGAGAGGCTGAGACGAGAATCGTGCAGGGAGCGCTAAAGCTACGGCAACAAGAGCAAGAGACTGCTGGAGGCCGGAAGCCTCCTGGGCAACTTGTCCCCGGTCAGGGTCAGGCATCAGGGTAGTGTGGAGATGACACAAGAAGCCTCCAGCCCCAGCGCCATCAGGGCAATCTTGGTCCACCTGGGGCACGGCTGAGGTTAGGCTAATATCAGCCCTGGTATCCAACAAAAGGGACTCCCAGCCCCAGGGTCATTGGCAATAGACCTGAGAGAGAGACAGACCAGAACAGCCCTGATGGACAATGAGGAGTTGGGGCAGGCACCCTTGGGCACAGTGAAGCTGTGCTACTCTCCTGCTTTACCCGCATCAAGGCCCGGTGAGGCTGGCTCTCTTACCTCCACTTGTCAACAGCCAAGACTACACTAGATCGCCTGTCTCTCTTCAGCTAGCTTTCTCAATGACCAGGGTTCCCCATCATTGGCTGTCCCTTTAACTGATTTGGGGAAGCCCTGCCAGTCTTTGCAATTCAGGGCACTGCCTATAAAAAAATCCCCTTTTGTAGGATGGGAGAAGACAATGCCTTTCTCCGGTGGAAAGAGAACAAATTCAGCCTAATTCCACCGTCCCCTGCACAAGAGCAGTTTTTATATATTTTAGCTCATCCTGCTATCCAGAGATCATGGGAGGCAGGCAGAGCCCTTCTGAGACCTACAGTCTATGAGTCATATTCATGCTGAACCTTGTGGACAGGTCACTGGTGGGGGGGCACTCAGCTAAAGGCCTTGGACACCCGGGCAGATGCTGGGTGTCAACTTCTGTGAGACGGTCTTTCTTTGCTTATAAGTGCTAGTACAACAGTCTGTTTCCATCTTTCTCTGCCAAGCAGAACTGACACTGCAGCCCCATCTAACCAGCCTGAGCATACAGGAATCTTGGAGGCCAGCAGGGACCAGGAGAGGAAGCAGTAAGGTAGGAATGGCCATGGAAGTGTGAGAGGGGATAGGGCACCTCCACCTCCTCAGGAGGACGCTGGCTCTCTCCCACCCCAGGGGCTATCAGGATAGCAAGGTCCCTCTTCCCCTCTTCCAGCATCTGGCCCTGTATTCTCCTTCCAACTAGAGTGATGGGAGGGGTCCTAGCTGGGGCTGCAAATTCCAGCAACATACTTGCAAGGCACACAGGAATCTCAGCCTCAGAGTCCCCTGTGGGACTGGACTATGGCAGGGTTGGGAGGGATGGTCCCAAGAAGCCCCACCACGAGCTGCCCAAATCCCTGTGAGGAGGCTGTAACTGAGCAGTGACCCCGAGTGTGCCAGGACTCACAATCACTTGCTGCGCACAGAAGCACACACAGGGCCCCATGACACGTGTACACAGAGGGAGCAAGGCAAGATAGGCATAGCACACACTAGAGCAGCTGGAGGCGGGAGGGACTGACCTTGGTGATGGCTCCGGTTGTGGCTCCTTCCTTCAAACAGAGGAACAACGAGTTAGTAGCTACTTCCTCTGGCAGCCCCGTGACACATGCAGTGGCCCAGGAAAGGGGACCTCCCTTGGCCCCGCTAGGATCCCTCTGACCTGCTCAGGCTCCTGGCCTCAGACCTGACCCACCCTCATGTCCACAGGTTGAGTTGCACGTAATGGGACCCGATGCAGAGAACCACCCTTCTCGAGTACCTGCCCTCTTGGTGAGGTACTACCAGGACTAGGAGCAAGGCTCAGGGGACAGACAGAAGTCCCAAGGGAGCTGTGATCTGTAACCCAGTGGGCTCTTTTATTGGATACTAATGAATACTCATTCCAACACAATCATACGAGTATAATTAATAAAAGTTTCAAAAAGAAAATGTAGATGAAGAAAGTTCTTGGCTTAATGGAATTTCCCTCCTTCTGTGCAATTTCTCAGTGTCAGCAGGAATCAGCCAAGGACTTTGCCATAGCCCACGGTCAGTGCTTGTTTCTGGGCCAGCAGTCATTCCCAGGCTTGCAGAGCTACTGTTTGGCCATTATCTGTTTTATTGGGGTTGGTTCTTTCTAGTGGTAAGAACTTGATGGTGGCTGGATCTTACTTAGCTTGAGAAGGGAAGTTAAGGAGTGACCCCTGGTATCCTCAGGAGGGCAATGCCAAGTCAAGGGCTTGTTTATGTGCGGCAAGGGCCTGTCACTACATTTCCAAATACTTTCCACAATAGGTACTGCATCACTATGAGGTTAGCAGAGAAGTGACAGCAGGGCAAAACAGGGTTCAGCCATGTTCCTGAAGCTCCTGAGGGTAAACCCAAGCCATCTCAGTTCCTCCATGGCCCTCACGGAGGAGTCGCACATCCGTAAGGATCTAGTTTAGGATAGTCCCCAGCACCGTGACCCTGTGATCTTTCCTGGGTGTCCTGTTGGGAAGTCAGATGGCCTGAACAGTTGAGGGCATGTTCTCACTTCTACCCAACCCGACAGCCCCAGCTGCATCTAGGAGCAGTTGGACACTCAAGATTTCCTTTCGTGGCTCGGGCCACAGATCCGAAGTCAAGGTGTGGGTAGGCACTCCCCTAATGTAGCAGGGAAATGTCTGCCTCTTCCAGCTTTGGGGGTTCCACATCCTTGGCTAATAGCTTAGCTCTCCGGTTTCTTCTTCCGACTTCTCCTTGTGTGCATTCCAGCTTCCCGTGTCTTCACTCCTGACCTCTATGCAGACAGTAACATAGGTGCTGAAGCTCTTAACTTACAACCTGTGCAAGGGCCTTTTTTTTAGATTAAGGTCATGCTCACAGACACAATTTGAGAGTTGATGCTCACACACCCATACTCATGTGTATCTAAGGTCAGGAACACGCCACCCATCCCCAAATTCCTTAAGTCTCAACTCACTGCGGTATCAACTCTGTGTCAAAAAGCACTTAACTGTCTGTTAAGCCACATAAATGAAGTTGGCAAGACTCTGGGGTGGTGATCCCAGGGGAAAGCCCTCTGCACACAGGCATTAAAAGTAAATAATTCGCTTAGTGGCTGGGATGGCAAGTCAAGCACAGGGTGACAGTCCCTCTCAAAATGGAAAGGTTGATCAAGGGGTCCCTGGCTACCAAAGTTTGAAACCCAAAAGGCGAGTTCAACTTAGAGTCAAGCGTTAGTGACAACACTGGCCCTGTCGATTTCTGCCTCTGCTGCTCTAAGTGACTCTGCTAATGTCCCTCCTGCTTATAACAATCTACAATATTGTCTTTATTTCACTTGTCCCTGTCCTTTTCCTTCCATGCTAGCAGTGTTTCTGATGCCCAGAACTTTGTGGTACCCTGAGGAGCCCCAGAGTGGCTGTTACTAATCGGGGGGGGGGCCCTCTGTGTAATTCTGATGTGACCCAAGGCAGATGACACTAGTCAGCAGATTCTTACGTGGCACACCGCGGTGACCCATGGTAGGATTCTTTGGTAAGGAGAGTTCTCCGTAGGACCTTGAAGAGAGGCTCAGGATGAAAGGCTTTAGTCAGGAGAGTCCTCTGTGTGACCAAGAGGTAGTCCAAGAATGGATCCTATTAGACCTGAGCATCCTATTGAGGGCCTGAGGTAGCGGAGGTGTGGATGTCATTCTACAGTCCTCTGCACAGCTTTCCTGGGTAAGCACCTTCATTCCTGACTTCCATAGTGATGATTGATTGGACCTGAGTTGCACACCTACTTTCTTCCTCATCTGCAGCCTGTACTCCCTAACTGACCAGCCCCTCCCTGAAGTGCTTCTCATCAGGGAGAGCCATTTGCTGTTCATTCAAGTTGAGAATGTCCCAGGTCTCCAAGTTCAAGTTTCTCATAGGGGTTCCTCAACTTACTTCTCTTCTGAAATTTGACATTAAACATCAAGGAGAAATAGGGCTGTACTTTTCACAGTTTGCAGCAGACCTCCTCCAATGTCTGAACACCCAAACCTACTTCTTATGATTTTGCTTTCACCCAACAGGGGAACAACACTCAGGTGAGCCTTTGCTACTCTACCACAGGTGCCACTTTTCCTGGTATTCAGTAACACGTTCTTTACTGACTTGTGTCCCTCTGAATGGTGCCAGAAGCACATTCAGTATCAATTCCCATTTAAGTTGGTTATGAAGTATCTCCTTGAATGTATCATGTGCTGAGGTGTTGGTCCCCAAATAGTGGCATTCTTGAGAAGTGATTGAGTCAACCTCATCCCTGAGTTAATCCATTCATGAGTTCATAGTGAATAGGCTATTAGCAGGTACAAGGAACGCAGATAGAGACAGATCAGTGGAGTGTGCTTTTGAAGGGTGAATCATGCCCCTGGCTTCCTCTTATCTCTCTCCTCTTAGCAGCCACAAGATGAACAGTTTTCATCCATCACACCTTCTGCCATAGTGTTTCTGACTTGCCACATCCTACAAGCAGTGGGCCCAACCAACCATAAACTGAAACCTCACTTCTTAGGAGGCCTCCTAGAGAATCTTTTAACATCCATATATCCGGATATTAGCCATCCCTTCAAGGTAGTGTGGGTGTGCTCTGATATGTACTTCAAACCTCCAGGCCCAATCATTACCCAATTTGAAACCCACTGTCACACTTTGGGGTGCTTCTTACAACAGCACCCCACTTTATAGCTTTTAAATCTGAGTTGTCTAGAGCTTCAGTAACAGGACAACGATGTCTTGAGACAATCAGGTTGTTGAGCCCACAAAAAGTTACTCTCTTACAGTCCTGGAGTAGAGACACCAGAAGTCAAGGCATCTCCATGTTGCACTCATTCCACAAATTCTAGGGGAGGACCCACCTCCCAAACCACCTATCCAAAGCGGTTTGGCTTGTGGCTATCACTATAGCCTTTGACTGTGTCTTCATTTAGCTTCTTCTCTATGAGTTTCTCTAAAATTCTTTCCTCTTATATGGACATTATAAATGGATGTGGGGTCCACTCAGAAAATCCAAGTAAAATGGCTGCTGGAGGTCACATTAGCAGGTTTGGAAGCTCCCACATATGTTCAGGAACAGGGTCGACCATCAGCCCACTGTCACCTTCCTGCCCTTCCAAAGGCTCTTCAGAGACAAGAATTTGCTTGAGGCCCTAACCCTATTCTCTATTTCTGCAAAGCCCTTCTTTACACCCATCACTGGTCCAAATATTGTGAAACACAATTCTGTAATTGCAAAAGAGCAGGTAATACTTTGAACATGTTACCACCCAACACTGAGAGAGGCAGTGCTGGGACACTACTTCCTACCTGGGTCTAAAGAATGAGCCATGAATGGAGCCAGATGATCCCTTAGCAGAGTGCACTCTTTACCCCACCCACCTTGTGCCCCATCCCCTCAACCAGCTACACCATCAACATCATCAAAACTAGTGGCCGAGCATACTCCAGGGCTTTTTGTCACTGGTCAAGGTTATGGAGCCTCTCAGGAGACCCAAGATGCCCACCCTACCCCAGTGTCCCAGCCTGAACTTAGGAGACCCTGTGCTGACCTGAAGGTGAGTCCAGATTTGCTCTTGAGATTCCTCAGCAGCTCTAGCTGGTTCAGAGGTGGGATGAGTCTGGGGCAAGAGAAGGAAAGGTGAGTAAGACTAGCCTCCATGAGAGCTGAGACTCAGCTCTGCACACCCACACCTCCTTCATCCATGGGAGCAAGCAGCAGGTGCAGAGCATGAGTGTAGAGCACCTGAAGCTCTGCGCTCAGTGCCTCCCCCTCTCCCAAGCTCCAGGGCTCCCTTCTCTCTCTTTCTCATGTTGTTCCTGGGGCCTCAGACACAGGAAATGATCAGGGCCCAGCCTGGACAGCAGGCCATGACAGCCCAGCACTTCAGCACGGAATAGATCAAGAGAGCAGAGTTCAGGTGGCGTGCCTCCTCCTGCCCTCTCTTCCACCCTACTTCTCTGTCCCAGAAAACTTTCAAGGAGCTGAAAACACAGCAGCCCAATGTATTCAAGGTCTCAGACCTTTAAATCCCTTTGCAGAGCTTCTTTGTCTCCAAAGGCTGGAATGGTGCAGGGGAAAGGTCACAGAAAAGGGCTTTGCTGGGCAAAGAGAAGCTCATTTCCAGGTCTATAGGATAATTAGCCTGGACAACTGAGGGAAAAACTCTGGTCTCATCAGGCCCTGATGCCTTGAGGACCCTCAGCATGTAACCTGGCTCTGTTCCTTTTTCTGTCCAGGCCACACATTACTCGCAGCCCCATACCTGCCCTCTGTGTGCCTACCCTGGCATTTGGTCAGTCCATAGCCAGAGTCTCAGGGAAGGCATGCTTCTATGTGGAAGGTGAATCTCTTCCTTCACGGGGGTAAATATCTGCTCATCCCATCCCATTTTCATCCTTATACTTTCAGTTTCCTCCTGGCAAATTCCTGCTTCATGAAATTCCTCTCATTTCAGGATAAACTCAACAGTCTTTGGGTCTTGTGACCCCAGACCCTGCCACTCTTATTCCAATTCTGACCCTACCTGCTCTAGGACTGCCTCACTCTGCAGATCCTTTTGTATCTCTTTCAGCACTGGCTTCCTGGAGCCCCAACTACACGCCAGGCTCCACAGGACACCCCCCCACCAACCTGTTCTTGTCTTTCATTCTTGACCTCTCCCCTCAACTAAAAAGCACAGAACTTGGGTTCTTACGCTTCGGTTCCTGTGGCAGTTAGCCACCTCCTAGGCCAGCACTGTCAGCTACCTCTCTGTGTGACCATAGGTACCTCCTACGGGAAATGTCCTGTGACTTCCACAGTCTTCTGCTTACGTTATTTGGACTCTCTCGAAATACTCTCACCATCTCTCTGCCCCACGCTGTTCTACTAGATCTTTCAAACATACCCAGCAGCCTTGCTATTCTCCCACGCAAACATTTCATGGCTCCCCACCATCTCCAAAACAGAAGGGCCATTGAGTTCACTGGCAAACTTGCTCTTCACTCCAATCTTGTTCTTCTACTCAGAGAGACCCACCCTATACCCCTGGGCTACTGCTGCCTTGAACTGTCTTCTCCTCCTCTCTTCTGTTACCCTCATCGGTTGCACAGGCTGTAAGAGTAGCCACGTCTGGGCCCTCCTTGATTCATTGCCATAGCCCCAGAGCCAGACCTAGAGGGGCTCTGGAAATGCTGGTTAAAAAAAAAAAAAAAAAAAACAAAACAAAACAACAACAAAAACAGGAGTCCCGTGAGCTTCTCTCTCCCTACCCTTTTCTGCCTCCCCTCCTCCAGACCATTCATCGTCCTTGACGAGTCAGCATGAAGCAAGAGCCTAGCATTCAGTTAGTTAGCTAGTGCCATGAGGGCCTCCCTTCCACTTTTTCACCCAGCCCTGGGTCCTGGAGCAGGGTCTCTGGCAGAGCCCTCTGCCTTGAACTCCCACAGTCATCACCAGCACATAGGCCCAGGTTAGACACATGTAAAAACCAGCCCTCCCAGCCACACTGGACGCATGCCCAGGACACACAAAGCAGCCACCAGGACAGACACATGGAGTGGGGCCGTGCACATAGCTGGTCAACCCTGAGCAGTCACAGAGGATTGGGGGAGGGACAGCTGGGGGAGGCTCTACCCAGGATGAGCTAATCAGAGAATACTGTTGGTCTCATGGGACGACTCCAGTCACACAGGCTGGGGGCTCTGGGGTGGGGGCATTTTCTTTCTGGGTGTGGTGCTGGCTGGAAGAGGTGGGCCGAGGGGAGGAGAAGCATGACAGGACTACACACGGCTCTTCCGCCTGCCAGGGGACTGGGAGCCGGGAGAGGCCAGACATCAGCCACTACTTCCACAACTCCCTGAGCCTCTGGGGTCTGGGATGATGTCCAAGGCCTTGCCCAGGAGAACAACCCTTCTATTTTTTTGAGAGTGCTTGATCTCCTAGGCCAGTTCCTACAAAAGGCAGAAGACAGGTCTCAGGTCCAGAGAAAAGGACCTGTACCTGCTACTGAACCAGGCCAGGAGAGACCCTTTTTGTAGGGGTGTGCTGGTACAGGGGTCCTCAGCACAGGCTCTGCTCAAGCAGGTGGGAGTGTGGCTCACCTTGTACTTGTGGGGTAGTTTCCTGAGTGGCACAGCTGCCTGGCACATGGGCAAAGACTGTGTTTCCTGCTTCCCACATGGGCCACCCAGAATAGAGACTGTGGGGTTGTGGAGAGACTCGGGCTCTGGAAGGGAGACCCTAGGGCGAGATTCTAGTCTGGGATGCGCTCCTGGTCCTAGATGCAGATCCCTCAGAAACATGACTGCCACTCTGCTCATTAAGTGGGGCAGTGGGGTGGAAGAGAGGCAGGGGCAGGGAATTACAGCTGTAAGACGAAGCAAGAAGCGGGCCAAGGAACAAGACTCCCTGAGGACAAGGGATCCAGCAACAGGAAAGCAGCAGCTAAAGAAGCAGGAGTCAGGGAGGCGAGGTGTGCTCACACCGACGCAGAAGGAACTACAGGTTAACACAGGGATTCCAGGCAGGAAGAGCCACTAGGGACAGGGTCTGACGACGGCAGCATGAGGACTATAGGGCAGGTGCTCTAGGATGGGCTATGAGCTCTGGAGGGCTCGCCCCACCCCAAACTCAGACAGACGAGAGCTACACACATCTTCCATCCCATGCATGTCCTACCTGGAGGCCCCATAGGTTTGAGTTTGTGAGCTTTCAAGGGTTTCACACACACACACAAAGGGAAAAGAACCAAAAATTTTTTAAAAGAACGGGATAAGAAAAAGAAAATGAAAACAAAAGTTGAGGAAAGTAGGGGAAACAACAGAATAAAGAAAATTAGCCCGTAGCTCAGTCCTGTCCCAATGCCCTGCAAGGAGCATAGAGCTTGGGGCAGGGCCAGGTAGGGCTCAGGGCTCCAGAGAAGCCTGGAGTGAGTGCCAAGGGAGGAATGGCAAGGCCATCTTTGTCTCAAGCAATGCCCTGCCAAGACTGACACAGGCAGGAAGGTCTATGGTCTATCTGACCATTGCTGCCTGTCAGATCCCTGAAGATGACCCTCAGCCCAGGAGTCCTGGGAGAGCTCTGTGCCCATGCTACCTGAGGATGGCTCAGAAGGACAGGACCAGATGGAATGGAATGCTCTGACTGAGGTAAAGAAGCTGAGAAAACACGGTCCAACCTCTTCTTTTTTCAGTTCAGGGTGAAGAGACAGCACCCAAGAGGCTCTGACTTACAGTACTGGACCTCACACCTTCATCTAAGCTTAAGCTTTGTGCACACAATTACCAAGCCAGTGATGCCACCTGTCTTCTGAGCAGTGGCCCACAGGCCAGCTGGCCCTGCCCCTGGTGGCCCCCAGATTCTCCTAGCATATCCTGTGTTTTGTATTGTTGAGGATGCCAGCCCCCCCTTGACAATATGGTGACTTTTCTAGCTCTAGACTCTCACTGTTGTTTGGGTTATTCCCTAGACACACACACACACACACACACAAGCATACACACACCATAGCTCCCCTTGTCTTTTCTGGAGAACACAGTCAAAAGAACATGGTCACCACCATTTCTTCTTAATCTTGGGCTGCTGGAGGACCCTGGCATTGCGGCCTCCAGCACTAAGGCCGGCAGCCATTTCATGGGGCGGCTTGGAGATGGGATCACAACACGATGCTACCCAAAAGTAGTGGAGTGAAAAACAAAGGATGGGTACAAGAGAGTAAGAAATAAGAGCCACAACAATACTTTAAAACAAAGAACAAAATCAATACTGGTGAAATAAACCACACAGAATCCTTTGTGGAAAAAATACATACACTTGGAAAAAGAAAGAAAGAAAAGAAACACAAATCAATGGGGTTTACAGAGCAAATGGAAATTAAAAAGCAAACCGCCATGCAGGGTGGTGAGGCCGGGCCTGGCGTAGTACCTGTACATGGGCACAGTGACCGTGCGTTCGTAGTACTGCCACGTGGAGTGCAGGTCGGTGCGTGAGAGGTTAGTAGCGTAGAATCTCCAGGCAGACTGCAGCGGAAAGAGGTGAGATTGCTGTGGGCGGGCCAAGGCTACCCTACGCTCCAGGGACCTCACCCACACAGAACTGCAGCCCCCATGCCTGTCCTCGCCCCACAGCCTCGGTTTAACCTCGTGGGACAAGCATGATGCCTGCAGAAGCTGGTGGGGTATGGGAGATACTCTGCCGTGAGCCATGGCGATCTTCTTCCCCTGTGCCTGTCTTGACATCGAGTGGGTCATTTCATTGATTTCTCCATCCAAACAAGTCTTAAACCCAGCCCCATGAGACCCGGGAAAGGGGTGCAAAGCTGGGACATGATTCCTTTCTGCAAGCATGGTGGCTCAGGCTCCATCTTCCTCGCTGGCTCTTTCTACCCCATATACATATCTTTCGTATATTCAACACAGTCCACACAGCATAACGTCCACCATTTTGAGTCCTTCAGTAACCATAGCCACCATCTATCCACAGCTTCTCACCCTCAGGAAGCAACGCCTAACGTAGACACTTCCATTCCAACCTCCCGCCAGGCCCTGGCAGCATCAGTCTTTTAGGGTCTGTGGATTTGACTCTGTTGGAAATTTCCCATCTACGGAATCTCATGATTATGTGGTCTGCCTGTTAGCTTCTTGCGTGGGGAGACTGAGCTGACCTTTGTGCACTGAGCTTCTCTCCTTTGGTGACCGAGTAACACTTGGTTGTACAGATATGTCATATGCATTCTGATCCCTCGCCAATGAGCATGGCCGTCCCGTATTCTGTCTGTTACGCACAGAGTGTTATAAACACAGAGATTTTGGCTGAACGCCTGTTCTGGGTTCCAACAAAGGAGTGAACCTATGTGTAAGGTAGCAATGACACGTGTTACTTTCTTTTCTGATTTTTTTTTTCTTTTCCCTTTGGAGCCAAGGGTAGAACCCAGAGCCCTGCACATGGGAAACAAGTGTTCTACCTACCACTGAGCCAGCAATGACTACTGCCTTCCGGGCGGTGGCTACACCACACATCCCATCAGTGGCATGTGAGCACAGTCACCAGGTTCCCACCAACACTCTTCCGGTGAGTGTGAGGTGGCAGCTCACGGTTTGATCTTCATTCCTCTAATGGCACAGCACCTTCTCACATGCTCATGGCCAGTTGTCTCTCTTCTTGGGGGAAAAAAAAAGTGTCTATTCAAGTCCCCTGCACCAAGACTTTCTGGGTATGTGTTTCTGTGTTTGAGCCATTGGGGTTCTTTATATATTCTGGATATTGAGTTCACGTCCAAACTTTTCTCCCATGCTACGGTTGTCTTTTCACTCTTCAGTGTCTTTTGAGGTACACATCTTTAATTTTGATGTTCTCTAATTTTTCTTTTGTTACATATATAAGAGACAAAAAAACAAAAACAATAAAGCTCGCTTACTTCTAAAAGAGTTTAATAGTCTTAACTTTTTTTTTTTTTTTAATTTAAGGCATCCCAGCCTAGCTTCAAACTCAAGAGCTCCTCACCTCGGCCTCCGGAGTTCTGGGATCACAAGTAAGCACCACAAAGCCTAGTCAAACGTCATCCTTTAAAAGAGTAAGTAAAGCTCCAGGCAGAGCGGGATGACACATGTCTATTACATAGAACTTAAGAGGCTGAGGCAAGAGAGTCACAGGAGTTTGAGGACATCCTGGGCTACGAGACTCTGCTACAAACAAGAAAACAATAGCAAAACAGGTCTCCAGCTGTCCCATGCCGTGTGCTGAAACAGTTCTCAGCAGTCAGCGTGGTGCCCTCATCTGAAAGCAGTTGACACGTGGGCTTACTGTTCTACTGGAATTCTTGTCCTTATGTGAAAACTATGCTGTTTTGATTACTGTAGCTTTGTAATAAATTTACAATCCCCATAATGTGTTCTCCTGCTGCAGTGCTGTCCTGGATATCCAGGGTCCATTGTAACTCCACAGACACCTTAGCATTAGCTTTTCCATTCCTACAGAAGGGGGGAGGCCTGGACTTATGACAAGTGCACTGAAACTGCATATCAATGTTTGGGAAGAACATTCTAACAAGATTAAGTCTTCCAGTCCATGAACATGGGATGTCTTTCTACTTACTTTGGTCTCCATCAATCTTTCGATAACACCAAGGACTACGGCCAGGATGGCCAGGCTGACTTCTATAGAATGCAGACAATTTGGGGGCACAGAAGTCCTGGTCCCCTCTCTGAGACTCCCCCTTCCAAGCATTTTTCTGCTTGGGAGCCAGAATCATATCCAGGTGATAAACCTCTTGAAAAATTAGTCCTTCTACCCCTGCACCTACATGAGGGCTACTGGGGTCACTGCTAACCAAAGCTTTGAGCCCCAAACATGCAGGGAGGTCAGCTTTGCTCAGAGGAAGGACTCTTTGATCAATGGTGCTACCACAGTGCCTTCACCTTGTGACCATGCATCATAAATGGTTTGGAGATGTCTTGAAGCTCTGGAAATCATCTTGAAGTCCACAGAGGGAGAACTGTGCAGGCAAGACAAAGAGATTGCCCTGTCCTAATAAGGAGGCACTTATGGGTGAAGCATGGAAAGCATATGCTATTGATCTTTGGTGGCACTTTTAGCAGATTCACAGGCTCCTCTGAAATAACGTTTGAAAGGAGTATATGTGGGTGGTACTCAGTTTATACTGCCCCACTAAACCTTTTGGTCCCACAGACATGCAGTCATTTTCTGGTTCAAATTCAAAAGAGTTTCTTTTGGAAAGTACAAAACAATAGCCATATGTTTTGCGGTGAAAGCTATGCAGTACATACACAAAAGGAGGCTGGACCCAAGGTCAAGATTGTGAAGTCCACATCTTTAAAATACAAAGACGGGAGCCACATTCAGTTGTCAGGAAATCCTGGCCAACTCCAGGGTCCAGCAGGAATCTGTCTTCTACGTGCATGTTCAGGTGGCCTCCACATCCCACTGGCCCCGAAATGGTCAGACCAGCTAGATAAGCCCAGGGCAGGAGGCACAGTGTCCACAGCTCAGGTCGAAGAGGCACGGATGTGGGTCAGGAACGACCTGCTGCCAGACTATCAAACTCTCTAAGCTGTGGGTTTCAGAGCTGCAAAATAGATGTAATGAGACACCTACCTCACAGGGCACTGGAGATGACCTAGATGGTTCCTGGGACAGTATGACCTGAGCCAAGTGCCCACTGGGGACAGGACCACCCAGCCTCACTACCGTGTCTGTCTAAACTGTTCTTATGCTGAACACAACCTTGTCTTCCAAACACGGACCATGGCCTATCCATAGACAGGGGAAATCCTGGTACAGCCACTGTCAAATGCTAAGATCCTGGTGGGTTCCATTCTCGGTGAGGTGGAATCAGAACAGGGGTTGGTCTCTAGCAGGGACTAAGGCTCACCTGGATCAGACCTGCTGCAGGGTTCCGCCGCTTCTCAAAGTGTTTTTGCCGATGCTGCTCTTGGACTTTCAGGGCAAAGCCGGATCCCAAAATGCCCTGCAAGTCACTTAGGTCAGACCACATCCTGGGGCCATACCCCTCCTTACCCTTGCCTACAATACTGTGTTTTGCGGGTACAGCTTCTTACATACTTGGAATTTCCTGGTACTTCCCCATCTAGAGAGCAGGCTAGGGGAACCTATGGCCAGCAGAAGGCAGCACCTAGATCCCAAACAGTAGCCCTCCTGGCCTGCTCTGTCCACAAGGCAGCTGCAGCCAGCTGCCCTCTGCCAGCCCCAGTGCAGCCATCAACATACCCGTCCCATTCTGTATGATTAAATGAGGGCCCCACTGTCTAGGGTCAGTCAGATGGGAAAGCAACAAAAGTCAACAGAGCTATGTCAGAAGGCCTGGTCTGGAGACACTCAGTAAGAGTGTGCCTACGGAGGCCACAGGCATCTAAACCAGAGAAGCCTCACTCTGCTCTGGTATGAGGCCTCTCTAGGGACTGTGAACCCCACAGGGACCTGCTCCTGTCCAAGATCTTTACAGTTCACAGGTGGCCGGTGTCAAGAATTCCAGGCGCCTCTGAAATCCCTAACATCCCTAGGGTAGGAAGGGGTACAGGACTCACTGCGGGAAGAGCGAAGAATGAGACACCAATGAGGGTAAACGTCGCTGCCAACAGCCTCCCATTCCAGGTCTGAGGGTACTTGTCCCCGTAGCCAATGGTCGTCAGGGTGATCTGAGGGACAGGGGACTCTGGTCACATGGGCAGGCTGGCAATGGCCTACCACAGAGGCCACAATCCCAGGCCAGATGTCCCTGCTCAGTCTCGAGAAGCTCACCCAAGTAGTTCAGGGGAAGCTGGACACTGGTGGCCACTCAGACTTGGCTGGACCAACAGGAGGGTCACCCTTCCTAAATCATCCATACTAGAGCAAAACAAGGCCAGGGTAAGCATAGGCTGTATTTATTCTGAAATCCCACCAAACCCAAATCTTTCTTCTACACTGAAAGAGGAATCGTTCCCAAGGCTCCCCTACTTGACACTTGAGGGGTAGCCTACACAGTTTACACAGGAAGCAAGGAGAGCAGTTTCCATCCAGGTGAGTTGCTGGCATAGCTAAGCCCTTGCTCTGTGCTCACAGGTAGAGGGCGCCAGTGATCTGATAAGTGCCCACCAAGTCAGGAGACAAGAGCAAGGAAGTACAAGGATGCCAGGATCCATAGAAGGTTAGGAGTCAGAGAAGCCTAGAGAGTACAGTTCAGGGAGGATGGGGGACAGTCTAGGAGTGGGTATGGCCCAGGAGGGGAGAAGGCCAGTGGTGGTGGGTAGAAGGTGGCCAAGAAGACAGGTGGGTAGTAGCTAGAAGCTGCATTTTAGAAACCAGTAGACATTTTAAAATACAAAGATTACTTTGAAACAATAAAGATAAAAAGTTTGCTTCAGTTCTGAAAAAGAAGGAAGGCCTAGGCCCAAGAAAATTTGAAGATGGACTACATCACTCTTCACAGGACTCTGGAGCTTGCTGGGTACAGCTCAGGACCCCTGGGTGCCGAGCTGACTTCCTCAGCAGGGCCTGGGTATACACAGAGAGTCCAGCTGCTCGCGTCTGTGCCCATCACACACTCTCTGCTGCCAGTTATCTCCCAGCCTTAAACTCCTGATAGCACTGCTTCTTCCTGAAAGAACACAGGATTCCAGGCCTGTGGCCATTCATAAGATCACAAACAAACCGCCCTGTGGCGTCATCCCAGGGGAAGTTGTCTGATCTCTGCCAGGGACTCTGCAAGCACAGCACCTGCCCAGATCACCACCTCATGGCTTTTCAGGTGACAACAGCCTCTGTCCTGAACCTCCAAGGAGTCCAGAGCACCGGGGGAGGAAGGGCTGCGAGAAACCCATTTCTGTCTCATTGCAGTGGGTTAGTGTGGTCTCCGGAAAGCAAGATCAGAAAACAGGAGCCTGGGGAACCTGTCATCCATGCCCAACCAAGCAGAAGTCCAGCGATGTCCAATAGGCCCTTCTGAAAGGGGGCAATGAGAGAGAACTCCCGGAGCGTCGTAGGCAGAGTCAAATACAGGGAGCCTCAGGCACAAAGGCCACTTGGGTAGAATCAAGTCTTGGGAGAAGCAATAATCAAGGGCCACTGTCAGCAGGCTTGCAGACCACCTGAAAAAGCTCCATCTTCACTTCAAATTCTCCCTTGTCTCTTACAATGAAAGTCAGGACTGACTGGAGGTGGGAAGCCAGCAGCAGGTGGCCTGGAGTGGTGGCAGTTGGCCTTGGGAATGAAAGGCCATGATAACAACGTTGCCTCCACCCTCACGCTGCTCCAAGGTTATCTGGAGTGGGGAGCCTCAGGGTGGCTCTATTCCAGTCATTATTCCCAGAGCCTCAGTATTCCCCCAGCCCAATCTTCCTCCGACACAGTATAGTGTCAAGCGGGAGTTGCAGGAAGGTCATGGGAAGAAAGAAACCCAGTCTGTCCCCTATTGCATCTACGAACGTAATTTTCACATCTCCATATGCCATCATGTCCACAGCCAGCCACCAGGTGGCCTCCAAGAGACGTGCCCACCCAGCTTAACCAAAGGGCAGTTAGTTCTGGCCCTCAGGCCCCAAGGGACAGGGTATATCGTTAGGATAGCAGTAGCAAGAGGAAGTAGAGGAGGAAGAGACAGTGGTCAGTGACCAGGACTTACCAGTCCCCACCAGAGTGCATCTGCATAGGTGTCAAAGTGGTCATTCTCACCCTTCTCTGCCAAGTACACCAGAAATGAGGCCAGGATGAGGCAGAGGAAGCCAATGTACCAGGCAGTCACCAGCTCCTGCAAGGGCAGGAGACTGCATCACTGTCCCACTCAAGTCAGCCTGGACAGTGCCCAGCATGGTAGCCCTTCCCTGAACTGTGCATCTCAAGGACTTTGGAGGATGAAATCCCCTCCTGGTACCAGCAAGGTACAACTAGAGTAGTACTGTGTCAAGCAACAAGGCTTGACATGTCAGGGTTGGCAACAAGGCTTGTCCTGAATGATCAAGAGTGACTTCTGGATGTACAGAGCAACTTTCCACTGACCTGTGGGTAGAGCATCCAGCAACCCAGTAAACATCCTGCCCGTGGCTGGAGAACACATGCCCCACAGCCAGCAGCTGTGAGCCCAACACTGTTTAGATACTGTGGAGATATCCCCAAGAGGGGATGCAGGCCTCAACAGGTATATCCTCAGTTTCCAACATTCAGGGTGTGCAGTGTAGGAAGAGAGAGACCAGGCCACAGGGAGCTCAACTTCCCCAGGGCCCAGTGTCTGCCCCCACACCATCATGGCTGACAAAAAAAAAAGGGGGGGGGAAGCAGTATAGAGAGCATTTGAGTCAATTAGTATAATGTGCACAGAGGCCCCACAGCACAGCCTGGCAGGAACCAGGTCTTGGCCACTCCTTCAACATGGAATGTGTACCCACAGCCACTCCATGAGTACCCTGGTCAGCAGCCACCACAAGCCACAGCTTAAACAACCCCTAGGCAGGTGATTCAGGCAGAGTATCGATCCAGGCCTTAGAACCAGGAAGGGAAATAAATGCTCGGCTACAGGGAGGATTGCTTAGACTAAGAATTAAAAAAAAAAAAAAAACAGCATCTGAAGACAAGTGAGGAAGATAGGTAGATAAAGGGGGAAGCTCGTTCCTATCTTCCTGGCCCCTGACTACATCCCACTTAGAGCAACCTTGGGCCTTGAGGCCAGGGTAAACAGCAGGCCCTAGGCCGGGCCAGGGCTGCTTACCTTGCTGTGAGCATAGACCACTGATCCCAGCAGCTTCCAGGTGCCACCCCTCCGGTCCATACGGATCATCCGTAAGATTTGCAGAAACCGCAAGCTCCGAAGCGCAGACGTGGCGAAGACATTGCCCTGGGAGCCAGCAGCCAGCACAGCAATGGAGGCTATCAGCACCATGATATCTGTGGGAGACAGGTACAGCTCACAAGGTCTTGTCCCCTGGGCCCCAAGAGGAGGGACCAATGGCCTCATAGACATGCAAGGTTATGTAGGGCCCTGGTGTCCAGGATAGACTGCCCAGTACTCTGTCCCTCCCAACATGTAGGCCCTGTCAGCCATGGGCTCCAACTCCAAGTCAGTGGTGAGAAGGAATTTCCAGAAGGCCCTGCCCTCTCACTCAGCCCATTGTGGCCACGGTAGAAGCAACTCCTGCCCAAGACCCAACTCTGGTGGCCTCACCAATCACACAGAATGGCTTCCTGGCAAACTTGAGCCTGCCCCTCCAGCCGCGATACCGGCAGCAGCAGCCCGCAGCCCAGATCCTCACAAAGTACTCGACACCGAACACCACAATGGTCACGATTTCCTGGGAGGTGGGAGGAACACAGGTGAAGACACTAACAGGCCTTAGGAGGGCTACCTGTATAGACACGGCAGTTTCAGGACAGTTCAGGACCTAGAAACCAGAGCTGCAGGCTTAGCTCAAGCCCCACAGGGCACCCGGCTCATGTCAGTCAGGACTGAATCCCTGCAAAATGCAGATCTTCCAGGGACTTAGTGCTGTCAGCAAGTGCTGGCCTATAGGCTACCAGGGGAGCCATGCTTCTCGCCTCCCTTCTGAGCTGCAGTGGGAAGCTCTGGTGTTCGTGTGCTGGGTGGGCACAGCAGGACAAAGTTGAGAGGGTCCACAGACATGGCGAAGGGAGAGGAGGTACCTTTAGAATTCAGGCAGCCCCGGGGCAGTGGGGCATAGTGGGTGGAAGAGCATTCTAGTGGGATCATTCTCCTTGAAGGGCCACCTCCGTTACCAATGGCAACAGAGAAATTACACTCCCGTTTCCATGACACCCACCCCTGCCCCATCACAGGGTTTATGTGAGTGAGCATCCCAGCCTCCCACCCCTTCACCCACATCTTCTGGGGAGCACCACACACTTCCAGTGGGGGCACCTGGGTTCTTAGACTCCGGAGAGCAGGGTGGAAAGAAGGGAGGGGAAAGTTGCTGGGTGTTGTAATGTCGCTTCTACTAGGGACGAGGAGGCTGGGAAGGGGCTTGTGGTCTACACCACAATGCCAGGAGCAACGGCGGCTGTGGATGCAAAACACTAACTACTCCGGAGGAGACCCTGGCTCACCCAAACGGTCAGGGTTGAGGACAGAACGAGAGGTGTCCAGGAAAGATTTGGAGGGCAGACTGCACTGCAGATCCCACCGGGATTAAGTAGGGCTCTTTCCCAACCTCCAGGCCTCTCCCCGCACCCTGCCCAAGTGTGGGGCTTACCAAGATGTAGAGGGCCCCCTCGGAGCTCTTCTCGTACTCCTTGATGGTGGAAAACACGGAAAGCACAAGGCAGGAGAAGACTAAGAGGAACCTGCGGGAGGCCAGAGACACACAGTCAGTGGGCCAGCAGCTGTCAGTGCAGGCTGTGTCTGCTAGCCAGCATGCCTGGGATTCAAGTCCTCGGAGGGCCCTCAGAGAAGAGCAGGGAGAACATAGTCCATACCCCGTCTCCAACTATCCAAGACAGTGATTGATGACCAGGCCCCTCCTTATCCTGGTCTAACTGGTTTGGGCCCAGGCAGCCTTAGCTAGTGCAAAAACAATAAAAAGAACCAACTCCACACTGCCTGCCCTACTGAAGGTAACTATTCATGCTTTTTTTCTGGTAGGCAACACTTCCTCCCTAGGTTCAGAGACAGAAAACCTCTCTTCCATCTAGATCTGGTGCTGGACAAGAATGTCTCAGATCATCTTTCTGGCCTTGCTCTAGCTGCCATAGCGTCTCCATTTCTCCTTCCGTATAAGTGGTGATGACTCTTGCTCACCAGCCTAAGCCTTCTGCTGTAATTATTCCTCTCTCCCTTATTACTCGACCCTTCCTGACCTACCAGAATTCTTCTGCAAGAGCTCTGCCTCTTTCATGGCTATGTGCCTCCTCTGACAAGCTGGAGACTTTTTCCCTTACCCTGCCCCAAAGGACTACAGAGGACAAATGCCATAGTCCTGCCACAGGAACCCAGCCTGTGACCTTTGTCAAGGACGCACCAAGTGACCTAAAATGCATGATAGACAGCATAGCAGGAACGCTGCCTGCTGAAGAACACTACACCCACATCTCATTCTGGGAGACCGGAACAGCTACAGCTAAATCACAAGGGGCAGATTCTAGGGCCAGTGAGATGGCTTGGCAGGGAAAGATGCTTGCTGCCAAACCTGGGGCCGGAGTTTTGTCCCCTAGACATCTCCTCTACATGTGGTAGAGAGAGAAAACCAATTCCCACAAACTGTCTTCTAATCTTCACATGTGTATAAATGTGTGTGTGTGTGAGAGAGAGAGAGAGATAACAAACCAATACAAATGAGCCCCACGGATGTACATGGGATGTGTGCATGTCAGAAGCCCACTGGTTTTTAGGCAGCTCAAGGGATATTAACATTTTTGTGCAGATGACAACCTGTCACACAAAATAGGCACATCTAACATACAGTCATCAGATCCTGTGCATAAAACATGCCTGGCCACAAGGCATCAAGAACTTCACATTGCTTGTGCCTGCTCCCACCTGCCAGCAGTCCCCTGCTACCTTCAAAAGCCAGGCATCCGTCCACATGTCCAGCACACAGCAATGATAATGATGTTAACTATGACAAGAGAGCTACCATGTTCCTGCTGGTCCTTAGAGTCCTCCTGTCACCATGGCCCTCCCCTTTGGACAGCAGTTAGGTCCAAGGGGTCATGTTGCCGCCACATAAATCTTCCTCTCAGCCTAATGTGTGGGACTGACCACCGTCACCACCAGTTAGCTCACTAGCTCCCTCTTGCCATTTTATGATATCCTCTACTGCAGGTCAGGATGCTGTCCATGAGAACATGTCCCCTTTCTGGTCCAGGGTTCAGGGGTGCTCATGGGTAAAAGCCTGGCTAGCCAATGCCAGCTAGTACTCACAACCAGCTGTGCCAGAACAACTGGAGCTGCAGATGATGAAGCCCATTGCTGAAGATGCTGCATTTGGTTTCTGTTCCTACAGACTAAAGACCTCTTAGGCTCTGAGTGTCTGAGGGTCAGGGTAGGTAGTCTTGCTCCAAGTTCACCACTCACCATAATGGTGATGCGCTTACCTTCCTGCCTGGCCCTGGCCCCTCTCCTTCACAATGAATAAGACATAAGCAGGAAAACAAGAAGCTAAAGATCCTGATCAGTTGGCAGAATACTTTCCTAGAACACACAATTCCCTGGGTTTAGTACCCAGCAGAGTAAAACCCCACTGATGCATACCTATTAACCCAGTACTCAGGAGGTGGAGGCAGGAGAATCCTGAACCCCCCAACCTGGGCTCCACATCCTGAGAGGAAACAGTACACAGTATATAGGCCCAATGGCACACTGTCTGGGTGAAAAGCCTAGGGCCATCAGCCTGGCAGTCTTAGATCCTCAAAGTCCAGTTCCATATTCCCAAAGCAGAACTGGTTCATCAGGAATGTATCAGCAATCCAAGCAGTCCATTGATGGGGCCTGGCACATACCAGTGACCAACACATGCCCATCCTGTGCTATAGGCAGTTGCCTACCTGGCCACCTGAGCCCTGGACCTGTTGCAAGTCTAACTCACAGATGCTTACAACTTCATCCCTCACTCAGCAGGCTCCTGGCACCATAGAGGACCCTGAGTCCAATCCCATCCCCACCCTCCATGATTCCAAGTACCTGAACACTGTAAAGGGTTACCTGTGCCATGGTTGCTAGCTAAAATGTCCATCACATCTAAAAACATAGCAACACCAAGACATGTGCTTGGCCTTTGGGGCATACTGACACAGTCACACTGGTATGTACAACTGTCTTTTACGGGTAAGGAAAGAACAAAGGGACACAGCCAGATGCCTGGGAGCACCAGTTAACTTAATGGTCAAACAGGAATGCCCTTAATGCTCTAGGACAGCCATAGGGAGAAATTTGGGGCCAGGTGCCATCAGACAACTGGAGTCAAGGGAGAGGCATTTCTGGGATGAGCTAGAAACCTAAGACAATGGAAAGCCCCAGGAATCTATGAGGGTGACCCTAGCTAAGACTCCTAGCAATGGGGGATATGGAACCTGAAACAGCCACCTCCTGTAACCAGGCATGACTTCCAATGGAGGGACTGGGACATCAACCCAGCCCCAAAACCTATGACCCATAATTTGTTCTGCCTACAAGAGGTGCAGGGGTAAAGATGGAGCAGAAATCGAGGGAATGGCTAGCCAATGAAAGGCCCAGTTTGAGACTCGTGCCATGAGAGAGAGCCTACCCCTAACACTATCAATGACATTCTGCTATACTTGCAGACAGGAGCCTAGCATAACTGTCATCAGAGAGGCTTCACCCAGCACCTGATGGAACAGATGCAGAGACCCACAGGCAAACATTAGGTGGAGCTTGCAGAATCCTTCAGAAGAGGAAGAGGAAGGATTGAAGAGTCAGAGAGGTCAAGGACACCACAAGAAAACCTATAGAACCAATTAATCTGGGCCCACAGGAGCTCACAGAGACTGAACCACCAACCAGAGAGCATGCATCGGACAGACTTAGGCCCTCTGCACATATGTAAGAGAGTTGTGCAGCTTGGTCTTCATGTGGGACTCCTAACAGTGGGAGCAGGAACTGTCTCTGACTCTGTTTCCTGCCTTTGGATTCTGTTCCTCTAACTGAGCTGCCTCCACACAAGATGTGCCTTGTCTTACTGCAGCTTGATATGCCAAGGATGTGTTTATATCCACAGGAGGTCTCCCCTCTTCTAAGGAGAAAGGGAGGAGGGATAAATTGAGTGATGGGGTGTTGACAGGGAGGGACTGGAAAGAGAGGAAGGAAGGGAAGCTGCTTCAATCAGAATGTTAATTAGTTAGTTAGTTAGTTAGTTAGTTAGTTAGTTAGTTAGTTAGTTAGTTAGTTAGTGAGTTAAAAGAAAATGTCTCCATTACCCAACCCTGATCTCACCAACACCTACCCAGGACTTGGCTGCCCTATTCTCAAAATAACAAGTACCAGGACTCCACACAGGCCAGTGAACATACCATGCCAGAGCCTGTGTATTATGAAAGCCGTATATCTAGCCCAGGAGGATGGTGAAGGCTCAATTCTCTGTGTCTGTCTGAGACTGGGCCAAGGGAGACACACAAAGCAAGAGTTCCAAAGTTGAAAGGGAAATCCAAGAGACAAAGAGGACACAGGCTGGTATGAGAAGCAAGGTACCCTATCACTCCAACCACCAGCCAGGAGTCAAGACACCGTTCTTTCCCCAGCAAGAGCTAAAGATGCGACAAGGGCCCTCAGTGTATGTTCCAGTTTGACTCAGGCCACAGTATCAGATAGCCAGCAGCATTCAGAGAGCCTCTGTCACCAGGATTCTCAGCCTCCGCCTCCGCCTCCGCTGAAACAACAACACTGTAAAGAGATGCCCAGTCCCTGACAATCTTCCTGGGCATAGGTCCTAGGTTTGCGGCTCCTGAGTACTTTTCACACCGGAGCCCCAAGCCCTGAGCTCCTGAGCAGAGGCACTAGCAGCAGTGACAGGCTGCTGGCACAATCAGAACAACACAAAGCCACGGTCACATTTCAAAACTGCAATTAATTTCCTTTGCTCATTAGCCAATTTATTCAATTAACTGAGCCCTGGAAGGAAAAAAAAAAAAAAAACCAGACTTTCACAGGCCTTCTAGCACTGATTCTGACTGCCTGGGTATCTTCTCCCAGCCCAGTCAGCAAGGAAAGAAAGGACAGCATGGGGATCCCCACACTCTGAAAAGGCCCCTGAAGGCTTGAGCGATGATGAAAACACATGGAAAAAAAAAACAGTAAAGATGCCTGTAGCAGAAAATATGCCAGGACCATCTCAACCCACAAGGCAAGGTAGAGGAGGCTTCCCCAAAAGGGGTTCCCTGGGGCCAAAATCTGCTAAGTAAGGAGGAGTAGGCTTGCTTAGGAGAGAATCAAGGATGGTTTTGTTTGTCTGTTTGTTTACAGATGAAAGGTTTAATAGAGAGGGTGGGCATGTGCTGGACCTGGGCAAAATAGAAATCAGGGTCAGGGACAGAACTACAGGGATAGACCTCACTTGGTCCAGAAAATCCAGCTCACCATGCTACAACATATTCCTTTATGTTAAAAACAGTGAAGCTGATCCAATGAGATAGCTCAGCAGGAAAAGGAGCTTGTCACCAAACCCAATGACCTGAGTTCAATCCCTGAGACGATGCAAGGAAAAATCAACTTGGCACCTCTGCGCATGCCTGACTGCCTGAAAACACACACACACACCAAATAAATAAATAAATTTAATTAAAGACAACTGAGGCCAAGGTGCCAGTTGACCTATTCCTAAGGGTCCCTGACC